ATTAAACCTAAATTAAATTATAATAAAAAAAGTTGAATTAAAGAAATTATACAACAAAACAAGATTTTTTTAAATAGTTAATTTGACACTAATACCGATATTTTTTTTTAAATTTTAAGATATTTTCAAATTTATATTTTTTTCAAAAATAAAAACATTATCGTTTTTTCTCAAAACCACATAAAATCGTATTATAACATCGATAGGGGGACAAAATAAAACGAAACATTAAAATCGAGATGTATCTCGCTGCATTGCGCGAGTACCCTTCTAGTTATCTTATAAAACATTTAATAAAAACTCTTCAAACTCATTTTTTATGCATGAGATATTGCTGATTGATACATATTACTTAAAATTTAAGATTACAAGTAAACTGTTCATAAGTACAACTTATTAAAGCTGCATATTTGAATTCACATAACTACATATAAACATAATCAAATTAAAGATAAAAATCTCATTTTAAATATAAAAATATAATATACTGATACTATATTATAAAACATTTGACATAAACTTTTAAAAGTCATTTTTATGCATGAAGTACTGTTTTATTAACTTGTTTTATTGGTTATAAGGATATATCTAACATGTTTTTTAGAAAGTCCAATGAATGATTTAACAGGTTTTGGAATGTTCAAAGATTTATTTGTTCTAAAAATTTATTCAAAGACTTAATTATTCTAAACACTAAAATTCATTGAGTTTTTTAGACTTTTTTTCCTATGAATGAGTTTATAAAGTTTTTTAAACTTTATAAACTCATTCATAAATATGTAATTAAATATAAAATAATCATTAAGAGGTTGTTTGTTTACCTCTTAATAGTTTCATTAAGAGGTAGCTTCTAAATCGTTAAGAGTTGAATCTTTGTTTGACAAAAAAAAATCTACCTCTTAATGGTTCTAAAAGCCTCTTAATCATTCTGACAATTTAATCATTCTGCACTAAACCATTCAATAACTACCAAATAGTCTCCGAGTCTCATAAATACAATAAAATATTTTTTTTATTATTCTATTATAATGAAATATAAATAGATGGTAAATAAAAATTGAAAATGGCCACGTTTAAACGAAGACTGATTATGATTTATGGAGTGGTTTGACTTTTGACACCGGAGACAAGCGCGTAACGGACGATGGCCGGAAATTGGTTGCTGCCGGCGGAAACCACCACTAGCGGTCGTCCAGTTCTTCGCCCCGGTGAGGTGGAGTCTTCTCTACAACCCTCCGTCGACCTGGTCAACGAAGAAAACCCTAATTTGCCCAGTTTCAAGTCCGGTCTTCTCATTCTGACCACCTACCGTATCCTCTGGCTCCCTAACCCTGACTCAACTCCATCCCCTTCGACCTCGGCGGCGGTGGCAGTTCCTCTCGGTGCCGTTACTCACATCTTTCAGTCCAAGAAGTCTATCAAGGGGATGTTTGCCAGTCCTAGGGTTAGATTCCAGGTGTCGGTTACGACTGAGGGAAGAGTGCAAGAGAGGGGTTCTAAATCAATGGTGATTACATTAGTTTTTCGAGGGAAATCGGATCCCGATTCGTTTGTGGTGAAGTTCTGGGAGGCCTATAGAGGAAGAGCATGGGAAGGTTCAGTTTCTGCTTCGGCGGAAGGTGTGGAGGGTCCAGCTTTCTTGGGTGATGGTGGTGGGTCAAGTAGTAGTGATACAGGATTGGCGTTGAAAATGCCGGTGGTTGGGGTTTCAGGAATACTGAGAAAGGAGCAAGAGATGTGGGAGAGTACTGATAAGAGCTTGCAGGATGCATTTCAAGACTTGAATGCTTTGATGGTATGTGATCACATTTTATGGTTTTGCACTTCTAACTACTGTCATAATGTAAGAAATAAAGTAGTTAGAAGACAGAATTCAAGGTAATTCTTTTTAACAACTGCTTTTGCTGCGATCCGATGCATTAGTGCTGGTATCATCGCACCCAATTTGGGGTAATTCTTGCTGTATATATGGGGGAGGTGCTTGAGGGTGCAACTCTTGGGGGTGTGGTGATGTGCTCATACCATATGATGGTGTTGATATATTCTCGAACTCTTGGGGGCGTGGTGATGTGCTCATACCATATGATGGTGTTGATATANCATACCATATGATGGTGTTGATATATTCTCGAACTCTTGGGGGCGTGGTGATGTGCTCATACCATATGATGGTGTTGATATATTCTCGAACTCTTCGGGGCGTGGTGATGTGCTCATACCATATGATGGTGTTGATATATTCTCAAATAATTGACTATGAATTCACAGGGATACAAGAATTAGAGCCAATTTTTGGTTTCTCTTTTACTAAAAGAAATAAAAAATCCAATTTGCAAAATTCAAAAAGAACCCAAGTTCTATGGGTACAAGATATATAGTTTCAAATGGTCTGGACTAATATAAACTGGTTAAGTAAAAGCATGATCATTACAAGGCTTGGGTTTTAGGTTTTAGGATGTATTTATTTTACATATTTAGTTGATAAATTGATTCTTTCTTTTGTTTTTTTGGTCTTAGATTTGTATGTATACACACACATGTGTAATTGCAATACCATATGCTCAACTTTAGAATCTTTGCTTCCCAGAATCCATGTATCACTTTCTGTATGCATGTATCCATATCCTTGCAACATAGGTTAAAAGTGATGTGTGTATTGATATTTCTTTAATAATTGTGAATAATACTACTATCTTTTCTTGTGGGTACTTTATTAATTTTTCACCATCTACAGTCAAGTATTGTGGGTGTACATAAGTTGTGTCAAAATTGTTTGTTCTTCAGAATAAAGCTAAAGACATGGTGATGCTAGCTGAAAAAATGAGGCAAAAACTTCTTTCCGGATCGAATTCTCAAGTCAATGCGACAAATGACGAGGAGATGGGTTCCAAAGAAGAGATGCAAGACTGGTTGTTAAGTGTTGGTATTGTCTCCCCTGTCACAAAAGAGTCAGCTGGGGCCTTGTACCACCAACAGTTGTCTCGTCAGGTTTCTACTCTCTTCTTTGAGTTATGTGAAAAGTTATTCTGTTGCCAAGTGTTGTATTAATGATTTTTGCGCATGTTATGTATGTGGAAGCAATTGTGAATTAAAAATAACTGCTAATTTTATGATTTATAGAATGGATTCTCTCAGCAATATCTATTAGTTTGTGCAAACACCAGTCAATATCTGGGTTGGATTTGGAAATATAATAATGCTGAAGAAAAAGTTGTTATGTGCAATCAGAACTAAAACTAAATTGTTTACATTAAACTATGCATGTTTGATGTTTCAGTTGCAGATCTTTAATATAGTGTCGACCTAATTTGAAATATGCTTTAATGGAGTTAGCGTCCTGCAACAGAAGATATAACTTCCAAATTTGACAATGGTTTATCTTCTCCATTACAAACTTAGTTGGCTGATTTCGTGAAAACTCCATTAGAGAGAGCTGGGGGAATAATGAATCTTATAGATATCTACTGTCTCTTCAATCGTGCCCGTGGAACAGGTTCTGTACTGTATAGCTCTCCATTGTGTATTTCAATATCTTTTGTTTTAGAAGTTACTCCTGATTCCTTGTTTTCTTTTTGGCACAGAATTGATTTCACCTGATGATTTGCTGCGGGCATGTTCACTATGGGAGAAGTTCAATGTGTATGTACAATATAGTCCTGCATTTCATTTCATATGTTTTTCTAGTATAATTATATTGCAGAGCTTTATTTTCTGCTAATAATTGTGAAAATCATCTGTACTTATCAAGCTTTATTTCAGTCCTTGGTGCTATTTGGTATTTTATCTAATTCCCCCTCGTTTATATATAGTGCAGTCCAGTAATGCTCAAGAAGTTTGAAAGTGGGGTCATGGTCATCCAGAATAAGTCGCACAGTGATGAAGAGGTAAAACAAATTTACATGTGACATTAGTGATAAACAATATGTTTGTTTTTCCATAGATGGATTAGGAACCAATGAAATGTTGTGAAGAACTCAAGATCAATCAAAATTTATATTAGTTTCAGATGTTCAAATGGCAAGTTTTATGATTCTACGTCTAATAGCATGTATATCTTCAAATATTAAATTATATCCAATTTAATACCACACAATCATGAAAACAATCTAGCTACCCCTCGGCTAGAGGTATGGACGGGGGATATACTGGGTATGTTTGGTTTTATTTAATTTAATACCACACAAGGGCAATTCTGGTATTTTCTTTCTATGCTTCAATGGTCCCGGTACAATATGAGTAGGACTTGATTGGTTTATTACTTTAAAGGTTGGAGGTTAAGGAATTACACCCAAAATGTCGTCCCTTTGGTCATCTATATCTTTTTGTATAGACTTCTTGCTCAAGTATAAGGGACATTTCAGTTGTCATATATCTTTTCTCACCACATGCTTAAATGTTATTTTTTGACATCCCAGTTCATGCTTGAACTTAGGATTTACTCGAATTATACTGCAAATTTAGGTATTTTCTAGAATCAGATCCCTAGTACAAAAGCCTGATGCCCTTCAAATTGGGGTCAGCGCCACTGACGCTGCAAGAACGCTCGGAATTGCTCCAGCTATGGCCAAGGAGCATCTGCTTGCTGCTGAGAGCAAAGGTATGGGTTTGGGAACTGTTTCAGTTTTTGTTAGATATTAGTGGCACATGTAACATACAGTAACTAACAGGCAGTACCCTTGTCAGGTTTTCTATGCAGAGATGTGAGCCCTGATGGTTTTCGTTTCTATATCAACATATTTCAAGACATTGATCCGAATGATGAATACTTGTAAGTTATGCATCAGATGCTTGTTCATTTACGGGCTGTTTGGTTTGTTTTCTGTTAAGAAGACCCTACCTTAAAGCTAGCTACTCATAGTCGTGTTCTATGATGAAAGACTTTTCTGCCTAGCTTGACAGACTGAACAGGACATATGGCCGGGCAGGACTGTCCTGTATGGATGAAGATGTCTGTGTAGATTATTCTTTCTATAAAGATTGGGAAGGTTTTTGTTTCGGAGGGTTTTATCATAGATGGGAGGAGCATGTTTTTTAATTGGGAGGGGCAGGTTTGGAGAAAACTTGGCTTTTGTATAAAGCTCCCCCTAGAAGCTTCCTGAATAAGCCACTTTCTATATCATCAAGCCACTGCCAAACAGTCATATATAGCTGACCGAATAAGCTGTGAGTCCCATTAAGCTCATCAAGCTGCTAGCAAACAGGCCCTATTCAGATCTTGCAATTTTTTTCATCCACATTCATCTGTGCTTGCAATTTTTAATCACTCCATGTCCGAAGGAGTATGTTTCTGTTTTAACTGTCTCAATATAAGTACCTCTTCAAAAAATAAGTCCGATTTAACTTCTGTTTACGAGGATAGAAAGGGATGTCACTGATTCATAGGTGTTTCAATGGTGCAGTATCTTCAGGGATCCAATCAAGCTTCCTTAACCAATCAAGAAGATTGGTGACCTCAATATTACTTTAGTGCAACCTCACAGTCTTGCCAAGCCCACCCACTTGTTTCATAAACTTAACATCGCCAATGAATTTGTTTTACATACGGGTAACCTTCTGTTGGTCCTTACGTTTTGAACTGTCCAGCCTTAGTTTGTTACCACAGACCATAATGTACCTCGAATCCAGAAGATGGACATATCATATATCTTTCATACATTTTAATCAAGAAATGGGAAGGGAAATGATAAAGAATCCTTGAAACTTTTTTATAGTCCCCTGACCTGATTTTGAAACTAAGTAAAGCCAAAAACCTAATTATCGACAACAAATGCTGTGTTCTATCAACTTTTCTTCATTCATTCGCAGAAATCCAACGTGATTCCTGCTTGTAATGAAGTGCATTTTTTTAATTAAAGGGGTTATGTGTAATAATCTTGAACCATTCATCTTCAACTTTATGTTTTGAAAGTGTCAGAACACATAGATCCATTTTGACACAAACTTGAGATGGGTCAACTTACTGCTGTTTTTACTGCTCGAATCAACTACCATATCTCCTTTCCTCTTGTTGACCCATTAAGAGCCTGGCCTTACCTGACCAAATAAGTGGCAAAAGAATTTTACCTTTGCCACTGACTGAACAAGTCTCTTAATGGCACAGTCCATACCAAGAAGGAGAAAATGAGAATGAGAAAGTTAAAGGTGTTGTAAGATGGAGTTTTAGTTGTGGTTAATTGTAAATAACATTGTGGTGGATGCACTTGGGATTCTGTGTTGATATTGTAATACCAATCTTTAGTTTGATCTAGATAAACCAATTACAAATACAACCTGATTCCAAAATTGATTAAAATTGCGCATGTATTTCATGACTAATCGAAATTATGTTGCTTTTGTATAGAGTGAAAGAGTATGGGGTTTATGATTCATGGATTCGTGCTGCAATTGCTTCCAGGTCCCAATCGGCTTCCACTGATGATTTCAAGTTTTGTGAACTCACCATAGTAGTTTCTTTACCCAACCGTTTTCTTGAATATGTAGGTAAGAAGGGATGACGAGCAACGACTAACAGCTTGGTATCGAGAGTCAAGATCCCCATTTTGCACCAACTTTAAATAAGGTAGCATGGGATAGGGAAGTAACACCTTTCATATGGTCATTAAGATTAGGGTGGTTCCCTACTCTTTCAAGGAAAAGAGAAGATAAGGGTGAAAAGTGATGGCAATCTAAGATGAATGATATCTGGTCACTTTTCCTGCTTTTATTTTTGATTTAGTTGAACAGTCATGAAAAGGAAGATGAATATATATTTTAACCACTTGAGTGGAGTGCATAACTTTATACAGGTTTAAGTGTCTTTTTGAGTTGCTTCCAAGAACTCTCCTCATTTAATCACCACACTTGATTTATACACAAGCCATGTTTAAGATTGGAGAAAAGATTGAAAGATATAATGAATTGTTTGTATATTTTGATTAATTTATGTAATTTATTAAATTATAATAAAATAGATGTTTTTGTAACAAAATATTTCATTAGAAAGTTTTCGTCAAGAGGATTAAAATGACATCAACAAGAAAAGTTTATGTAGTTTTTAATTTTTATTTCATACATTTTTCTATATTTTTTTTATCGTTAATATTTAGTTAATTAATCAAGATATAGAAACCATGTGAAATATTCTGAGAGCAGTAAAGTAAGTTTAAAGAGTATAAAATTTAAGGAATGAATAAAATATAAAATAGATGTATTTGATGTTTTAAAAAAAAAATAGGTTTTATTTTAAAGTTATATTGGCAAAATATAGGTTTGTTTCATCTTATTTTACGAGATGAGGGTGTTCCACTTTTTCCATTATGTTACTTCCTGTTCCATCTTCCATGGTTTGTTACCGTCTTTCGAAGCATTGGTTCAAAAGACTCGATTAGCACCCGTTAACGGTCCAATTTTAAAAGGCTACCTTGTTATGTCCTATGCTGTTATAGCGGTAAAAGTACAAAATTGAGGTCAGGTACGATATTTAAAATAACGATTATAGTGGTGATATAACGATCCAAAAATAGCGGTTCATATAATTTTTCTTAGAATTATATATATATGTATACACATATATGTATATATATGTATGTATATATATATATATATATATATATATGTATATACATATATATATGTATATACATGTATAGGGAAGAGTTCAAACGAGAACCCCTGTGATTTACGAGAATACGAGAACAACCCAATAACCACATATTGTGATAATAAATAAAATTAAAAGATTTTTAAAACTAAAATTGAAATTTAAAAAGATTCARAAAATATTAAAATTAAAAGGGTAATAATGGAAATGATATCATAAAATCTTTTRRYACGATTACACGATCATGATTATCATTATCTAATAAACGGTTAATCATGTGATATGGGTGTGATAATCATGTGATTATCACACAATTATCACATTATCGCTTATATCA